CCATGTGCAGCTACCTGACCGGCCAAGGCAGACATAAAATAACCAAAGTCAATGAATAAGAAGGTTGAGGTAGTACAGAAAATATAACAGGATTTCCAGCTAATCGGTTAGTGAACACGACTAGTGAAAATGTGAGACGTTTGTCGAAGACGGGAAAATACCTATAAATCTGGAGTATTCCGGTAGAAAATAGATTTCTGAAGTAAATTGCCGAAAGAAAATCTCTGGAAATTCTTAAGTATGACGTGTTTGTTTTAACGGAATCGTCATTTGCTTAAAGATCATAATGGTGTCGGCACGTCCTCCGATTACAATAAAACGATTAAGTCTGTATAATTTGGAACTAACAAATTCAGTCTCATAGCCATTGTCGGAGAATGGGAGAACTGGTGACTACTGACGATCTCCGATTTGCGAGTTGTCAAATGGTCAATTAAAAGCCCAAATCTGGACGCCGCTCAAGTTAGTACCCAGTGTCTATGAAAATTAAGACAATTGACTTCGATAAAAATTGCAATCGAAATCGGCAATAGAAGCGGTGAAAATAGATGCAAAGAGTAGCCAAAAAGCATAGCTGACATATCAGAGACTGTTCTGAAATTGGCCCTGTCATGCTATTTTATACATAATCCGGTATAATGCAACGAATGACCATATGCATAAAGTTCTGCGATTGAAAACGACATATGTCGTAGGAAATGAATACAGAACTTACGAAATTTTCAAATGTGTCTTCGAGAGGAACACTGTTCTCGGAGGATTTCAATGCATTGGATGTGCCCTGCACTAAGTGCTGGACGAACTTTCGCTGGCGCATTGCAAAACCATTAAGAGCCGGACATTTGAAATTACGCGACTTTTTGGGGTTGTTTAAAGTTCTAAATTATTGTGATCTATGGTTCAGCAGTAAAGTCAGTCTTCTCGGTTATTTTAGGATCTTTTCTACTTGCATGGCTGGAATCTAAAGTCGTACTTGAAATCTAGAGCCTCTCAGAGTAGATTATCAAGTGACCTCAGTTCAGTCCAATCCAGAAAAGTGTTTGAATCCACCGCGCGTTTTAAGTTTCGCGTAGCAGAAAGGAAGTCTTTGATAGAGTTACTGACTGAAAACCGCTGGTCCTCCCTCAAAAATTGGATTTCAGAAAGCATTATTTCCTACTATTCCCCGCCCAGCAGCTATCTTTGGCCCATCGCTGTAATAGGACAATTTTCTGCAAGTCTGACCTTTCTGCTGGAAATCTATACCTAGACAACACAGCCTAGAAATCCTAGACTTCGTCTTTAACTGTCCACGGTATCTTTGGAAGGGGGCTTATTAAAGGCTGAGTCGATAATTCCTACAGTGTTTGTTGCGCTGCTTAGATTTGGACACTTAGCATACACCCGAACAGTCTTAGCTAAAACATCCTCTAGGCCTTTCGTTCGCGAAATACTCCAACAAAGCTAACCGTACGCACAGTCCCCTTCCATTAAGTCCGAGGGAAAGATTGTTCTTCTATTCCTGCGGTTTGCTTCTTTTCCATAATTTCGCGGCATGTTTGAGGGACGCATTGACGCCCAAGATTTGAAGTCGGAGTTTGGGGTCGATCTTGAGAAAACCGGTTCTTCAGTCGACTCCGCTAATCACCTGGTCACCGCAGCTCGGCGGCCGGCGAATTCACAAGGTGTCCTTGACTGTATCGACGCACAAAATGCATGCCATAGCTGTAGTGGATGCCAGATTCTGGCTATCAAGTTCAACTATCTTGAGGATGAAATCACAAAGATCAAAGCCGAATTACGATGAGGTCAGAGTCAAGTTAGGGTTATAAATATGCCTAATTGACGAGTAACTAGAAGAAAGTCAAGAGCACCCAGCGTAATTGGCACGTCAGCAACTATAGCGGCAGCCTCAGGACGAATAGTTCAAAAGCGAGATAATAACGGCTAGAAAGGAAATCAAATAAACTGAATAGAAAAATAAATCAGACCGTTAAAGGCCAAGGAAAACGGACGGCTGCTTCTGGAAAATGTCTTCAAAGAAGCGGAAACAGAGACACTGACTAATGTCCTGTCCATTATGACAAATATCGTGTGTCCAAGCGAATTTGAGAATTCTCAGAAAATCTGGAGATTGATAGACATAGTACGAGCGATGGCATCGATTCATCCATCAGGGCCATAGAGTACTATTCATACTCTTCTCTGCTAAGCGCTCCTTACAAACCTGTCAAAACTGGAGTCAATCAAACTTACAGCGTGGGAGCATCTGCACCACCATCACCAGCGCATAGTACTTGAGCGTCACGCCATTTAGGAAATGACATCTCCGTAGAAAATACAAAGTCGACAGGGGCTCCTTGGATCAAGTGAAATACTCCCTGGGAGCGGCTTTCCGGGAACCTATCGCATTTCCAGGGTCTCCTCAATAATATTTTTGAACCCACTGAGTCAACCGAAGTGATCAAATCGTTCAGCCTCGGAAAACCAGTAGAAAAGCAATCAGAATCTAAACGTCCCCGGTCTCTTAAAGTTGTGCTGGCCAGCAGCGGCCAAGCGCGAGACGTTTGTTGCAGGCGATTTAGAAAAACAGGCGCCAACGCGAACGCTTTTTTCAACGGAGTGCTCGCCAGCGGAACGGCTGAAACGCCGCCAACTATTTCTTGGACTAAGAGGTTCAACGAGAGGGAGGGCGATTTCGGTTTATGCAACAACCAAGTAAGTCGGCTTCCGCCATCCTTCCTTTGGACAGTGCCGGTACGAATGACCGCGCAAACGACATACTAAATGAAACGCTAACCAAAATATAACCACATCTTCCGTCAACCGGAATTTCAAATTCTCGTACACCAACGTCGTGGGGTGACCAGCGAGATCACCACTACACTATCGGCGCAGGGCGATCAGGCGGAAATAAATAAAGGAGTAAACATTATTCGTAGTACAAACGACTGCAACTCTGTATATATCGCTGTCAAGTCACCTCCCGCTAAACGAGCAAGGAGTCTAGTAAGCTGTATGGATATCAAATATGAAGACGAAGCCTGTACGACATGTTTTGGACTCCTTCAAAAAGTTGCGAACATGGAGAAGGAGATGAAGGGCCTTAAAGTGGAGATGGAGAAGCTAAGGCCACCAGAGCTCGATAGGAATGACAAGCAGTGTCTTGTGCGAGAAAACCGTGGTCAGACGCGATCTCAGCGAACAAAAAGAAATCTCAGGGTACCTCGAGAAGGCACAAATAGCCAGACAAAGGAACCAGAGTTGGCTACGCCGCAGACGAAAATCGTGCCGCTGAAAACGATAAATGATCAAAAGATCGTAGTAAACAGGCAGTCGGGCGTTAGTTCGCCGAATCAAACCGTCCTAAATCAGTGGAAGGCGGTAGCCGGGATATCCGCGATGAAGAATCTGCAGGTATGATTAAACCACAAGGCCGTCTAGTTGATCGCAGTAAATGCATCGTTATAAAGGGCATGACGGAGTCTGTTTCTGACACTCCAAAGGACAGAATACAGCATGACATAGAAATATTCCAGGAATATCTCAAATCGATCTTAATAAGAGACGAGAAAGTCACAGTATTAAAGGCTTTCAGGATGGGCCAGACTAAAGACTCAAAACATGAACCAGACCGGCCGAGACCATAAAAATTGTCCTTTAGAATAACGAGCAAGCGCAGCTAATTTTGAGCAGGAAATCTGCGCTTCAACATGCCCATCCATTGGTTTTTTCAGCTGGACTCTGCACCCGCGGATCGAGAAAAATGGAGGAGGCCCAACCTGGAAGTCCTCAGGCGGTCGAGTCTGAGCGAGACAAATCTCGGAATAGTGGACGGAAAAATTATACGCGTCCAGAGGTAATTCCTCTGGAGAAAGATTATAACTCCAACAGCTTAGGAGTGATGGAAAGCAGTTCATCCCCATCAGCTCAGACCGGCTTTTGCATTCAATCTCAGGAAATGGATAAACGCGTGTATGCCGTTTCGAGGATCGACGAACTCAAAGCGATATTATCCGAACGAATCCCGACGTCGTCGCCATAACGGACAATATACGGGCCAAATTCTTGAAAGAATTGGCGAATGAACTCTCCAAGCCACTGGCACACATCTTCCGCTCGTCATTCGAATTAGAGAGGTTGTCATCGGAATGGAAGACAGCAAATATCTATCCGATATACAAGGGCGGAGCTCGCACTAATGCTAACAATTACCGGCCTGTTATTCTAACCTGTATCTACTGTAAAATAATGGAGGCCATAGTTAAGGAAGCAACAATGAAGTTCCTGGAGCAGGGTCATTTAATCTCACCTACAGCACGGTTTCAGACAGAACCGCTCGTGCCTTTCCAGTTTATTTCTCTTGACGGAGCAATGGACTCGCGCACTGGACGAGGATGGTAGGGTCGATGTTATCTACACAGACTTTAAGAAAGCGTTCGACAGCGTCCCACACAAACGCCTTATCTACAAACTTTCTGAAATTGGGATAAGAGGAAGGCTGCTGTCATAGATAACAGATTTTTTACCGGGAGATCACAAACCGTGTGCATCGAGGCCTCAAGGTCAACCCCTACCCCCGTTCTAAGTGGCGTACCCCAGGGCTCCATCTTAGGGCCGTTGCTATTCCTGGTTTACATTAACGACTGCGTCGACGACCCGGAATGCAGCGCCATCATGTTTGCTGACGATGTTAAGCTGTGGAGAGCCATCAGATCTGACGCAGGCAGGTACGCGCTTCAAGACAGTCTAACTCGGCTTAAGAGTTGGTCAACTCGTTGGCTTCTTAATTTTAATGCGGACAAATGCGTGGTCCTGAAACTCCGCACGAAAAAGACCAGTAAGGAGGACAAATACTTTTAATACGTCTCTGGTGGTCAGCCCCTTTCAAATGTTGTGAAACAGAAAGACCTGAGCGTCCTAATGACCTCCTCGCTGAAACTATCATCACCGTGTCAAAAGGCAACCAGATGTGCTATACAAATGTTATTTGCCCTGAGGCGAGGATTTGTGCAGATCGATAAAGAGCGGTTCGGGAAAACCTAAGGGGCGTTCGTCCGGTCTCACTAAGAGTACGCAGTCCAGGCCTGGCGACCGTGGTTGAAGAAAGTTCATCAACGACCGGAAAGAGTACAGGCGATGGCTACGAAGATGGTCAAGAATCTTCATCATCTGCCTTACGAAATCAGGCTGACTGAACTAAATCTGTTTCCTCTTAATTACAGGCAACTGCGCGGCGATCTCATTCAAACCTACATGATTGTCAGAGGCCGTGAGTGTGCCCTAGACTTTGATGAATTCTTCGAATTGGCCGGGACTGACCGCCTGCGTGGTCATCCCTTCAAACTGCAGAGGAAGCTGGCCCATTCTGACGTCCGACGGAACGCCTTCTCTCACAGGGTCATTGGGACATGGAACGGACTCCCTGATGCAGTGATTCTTTCCGAAGGTATCGATTCCTTCAAGTGTAGACTAGATGCTCATTTGTTGAGAAATTACTGTAGATATACTAACGATTGTTTTAGCGGCAGCAGTTTGCGCGTGGCTCACACCGCTAATTTTTTAACTTTCCGCATTTGCTGATGTAATTGATGACTTTATTTCTGTTTATCGATATGAATAGGGAGCTCAAGGGCGAAAGCCTCATTCCCTTTATAGACTGTCTGAAACTGACTTAAACGTTCAGAGTTTACTACCAAAGTCCGACGAGCTGAAGACCCATCTCTGTGTTCTATCCCCTGATGTGATCTCTTTAACAGAAAACTGGTTGACCCAACGTATGGATGACCCTGAGTTAACCTTGCCTGGCTGCTAGATGTTTAGAAGGCAAGGGGAAGAGCGTCACGGAGGAATACTCACGTACGCGAAACATGGGGTAAGTGTGTCGGGCAAAACCGGCAAATTTTCGTGTACTTCCGAGGCAGTCTCGCTGTCTAGTTCGATGCCGGTTCCATCGAGCCTCTATGGCCTGACAGTTTATCGACTGCCCAGACGAGACAACATGGCCGACGTTCGCCTCTGGATGAGCTCGAAATTTTTCTACGCGGCCGGATATCCTGATCATGGGTGACTTTTATCCGCCCCACATTGACTGGAGCTCAGCCCACGCAAATAGCTCCGAACGGACCTTCGACAGGTGTTTTGTTAGCACGACACTGAAGTTATTTCTCACTTAATACGTCACGTTTCTAACTAAAGTACGCGAAGTCCAACAGGCTAACTGCCTTGATCTTGTCCTTACGAAGTCACAGGACAGCACTGATGAGGTGTCATTGCTACCCCCTCTAGGTAAAAGTTACCACCTCGTTCTTCTATGGGATTACCCAGTCTTTTCCATGCCCGAGAGACCTATAACAGTTCTAAGAAACATTTGGCGCCGAGATTTTAACCAAATGCGTGCTGACATTACAGGCATTGACTGGGAGTCCGTATTTGTTGGAAACATTCTCGATGACTGGCAACGGTTCCGAGAAATACTGCACAGGCTTACCTCAAGCCACTGTCCGCTCTCATGAAAGAGGTTTACTAACAGACGCAAGTCTTGAAGAATGGCGTGAATAAAAAGCGAAGGCCGGGGAAAAAACGCTTTCTGACAGGAGCCCCACATCCATAAACGCGAACAAATTTCAAAGAAATCGACCCGAGAAACTTATCCGCAGAAGTGGATTTGCTTAACCCTGCCGCGGAGAACCCTAAATTATCCTACGGTTACATCAGACAAAGCATACATAACAAAGACCCAATACAAATGCTAAGGACTGCTGAAGGTGAAAATCTTACTGAAGACAGAGTGAAGGCTGATCATCCTTCAGGGTTTTTTCGATCTGTTTTTACTAAAGGGTGCTAGATTCAATCCTCCTGCGAGTGACTTCTAAGAGGCCACAATTACTGAGACCGTTCAGTTCACTTGGGGCATGATTCTGATGGAGCTGATGAAGCTAAAGGAATCAACATCACCAGGTCTAAATCAGATTGTTGCAATGATTTTGAAGGAACTCGCCGGTGAGTTGACCAGACCATTCTCTATGCTTTTCCATGCATCCTTTGTGGCCAGGCATCTGCCATCCGAATGGAAATCAGTGTGGATTACGCCTCTGTATAAGGGCAGAAGTCAGGGGTCTGCAAACAAATTACAGACCAGTCGGCCTCACCTCTATTTTCTGCAAGATTAGGGAGAAAACCATTAAGAAACAATTGATGAAGTTCCTTAAACAGAACCATCTACTTTCCGATTTCAAGGACGGATTCAGAAAAGGCAGGTGAGTCTCAGTGGATGAGCTCAATCTCTCATCGCTGTTGGTCATTTCGGAACATAAATATGTCAAGTTTCTTCTTAAAACTTTGTACCGATGATGACATTTCAACACCCGCAAGGAGAGCATTCCATGGTTTGACCACTCGAACAGAGAAGTAAGACTTCCGCGCATCCAGCCTTACCAGCTGAGTATGCAGGTTAAACCGGTGACCTCTGAGTTTGGTCGTGGTAACAAATTCAAAAATGCCCTCGGAGGCCAGGCTGCAATCCAAACCTTTCGCTATGAGGAAAGCTTGCAAGAGATCCCCGCGAAGTTGCCTGTAACTCAAAGGGAAGAGGTTCAGATTTATTAGGCGGGTTGCATAAGGAAATGGGCTTTGATCTCTAACTATGTTCGTGGCTCTCCTCTCAAGTCTTTCGAATCAGATTTGATCTTGAACCGTCACGATCTCCGGGCTTGTATGCCGTATTCCAAGTGCGGTTGGACGAATGTTCCTAATGTCTTTGAGAAAGCATCTTCTTCAAAATCCATAAACGCACGCTTGGTGGCGTACAGTACGGACATTGCGCTTTTTGCCACTCTCAAACAATGAGCGGATGGTTTTAAGGAACTCGTCGTCAGAACACCGAGGTCCTTTTGGGCTTTGACTTCTCGTAGTGTTGCACCAGCCAGGAAGTAGTCTCTTGTGCTGGCGGATCTGGCTGTGTTGACTAGGCGAAGTATGCTATAATTACCAACGTTGAACCCAGGGAGCCAACTGTTTGACCATTCTTCCAACCGATTTAGGTTTATCTGCACTCTGTCTCCGTCGGCAGGACCCGAATTACACTCCATAGCTTTATGTCGCCTGAGAACATTGCTACTTCGCAGTCCAAAGCTCTTGCGCAATCGTCCACGTACATAAGTAACAAAGCGGATCCCAATACTAAACCGTGGGGAACACCCTTTTCGAGCACCGCAGAATCTGATCTTCCTTGACCGATGCACACAACCTCCTGTAGACCCACAAGGAAGTTTTCGATCCAATTGAAGAAGTTGCTTTGTTCCCTATTATCTTCGGCTAGTGTAACAGTCTCTGATGTGACACAGTGTCGGACGCCTTCTGGAAATAAATGAAAGCTATGTGAACCGTGTGACTGTGGTCGAGAGCTCGGTTCCAGCTCTGGAGAGATTGCAGCAAGCTTGTCGTGAAGGGTCTTCCTTTCCGGAACCGATGTTGGTAGTTCGATAGCAAGTAGTGAACTTCAAGGAATTGCATAAATTCACTCTTTATGATCTTCTCCATAACTCTGAAGAGAATGCATGTCAAGCTTATGCGCCTGTAATTTGTTGTCGATGCCATGCTGCCTCCTTTGTGTAACCGAGTAATATACACCCGCTTCCTAATGATAAGAAGTGTTCCAGCGTCAAAAGACGCTTGAAAGAGCATCAAGAAAGGCAAATAAAGCTCATTAGCTTCGGTGGAATCTCGTCCGGTCCTGAAGACTTAGATTCCTTCAATGCCCCTAATTCTCTTCGGACAATATATTCTGAGAAAAAATATATTACTTATGCTTGGAGTCCGCAGTTTTTTGTGAACTGAGGGAGGAAGTTTGCCTCGTTTATGTTGACTGATTAAAGAAATTATAAAAAATGCACAGCTTTGTCCCTGTTATCAGCAATCCCAACACCGCCGGTAGTCCTTATTAAGGGATTTGATGTATGTTCCTGGTACTTCTTCTGAGGTAGCTGTGGAGTAATTTTGGTTTCTATATTGCTTTTCACAGCAAATTCTTCTCAAATTCACGGCGCCTCTTTATAATCATGCTTCTCAGTTTGTTTCCGCGTATCTTGCAGGTGTTGAAATACCCAACTTGCCAAGTGGTGCAGTATTTTCTCCACAATTTTTGCTTCCTGTTGATTTCATTCTTGAGGTTGCTGTTAAGCCACCCAGGGCGTTTGTCCAGTCTTATACTCGTCAGTGGGCAGTGGTTGCTGGTGAGCTGCAGAAGAACGTTCTTGAACAACTCCCAGTCATCGTTGGCATTACCCGTAAACGTTGGTATCCAGTCGAGACCGGATAAGTCTGCCCTCACTTTATTGAAGTCGCCCAGCCAAGAGTCGCATCTTTTTTGCAGAATGGAGAATAACGAATAATCCCACATAGGCACTACATGGTCACTTCGGCCAAGGAGCGGAATGGAGATGATTTCGTCCATGCTGTCTGATGCCTCCTTAAAAACGAAAACATGAAAACTATATGCTGTCCAAACACCGTTTCTAGGGGGAAGTTCGTAGACTGAGGACCTTTATCGGGTAAGCCAACATCCTATTGCCTATTAATTGATAAAGATCGCGTTTCTTGTGTGGACACCTCACGTATACACCAGCCTTCAGCTTATGGCTGGCACCTGAGCCCATATAAACCGAATGAGACGGCTCATGTGAGATGGAGCACGAGCTAATTAGCCCTGTCAGGCCAGACGCGAGGAAAGCCGCGAGCGCTAGCATGCACACACGCTCACATTTTCTTACTTACTTGCGCACGCTTGGCCGACGTGAATGTCTCCTCAGTCGCCGATCATTAACCAAGAGGGTTTGTGCAGAATAAATCTCTCCTTTTGACCTCCTTCGTCTTCTACCGCCATCTAGTTGTGGGGTTTTCAGAGTACACCACTTAGATTGACCGTTTTACCAATGCCTTGACAGTACAGCTGACACTCTGCGTATTGTAAAGTCTCTTCAGATAAACGAAATGAATTCGTTGCAGCGGATAACATTGCGCACGTCTTTCCTGAAGAAAACAGGGTATAGGGGTGTCTAGTTGTGGATCCACGTGAAGGTCTCAGTAGGTCGCTCACTTTGTTGCAGGTGTTGGCTACTCCTTGCGTCCATTAACTGGCACCCAACTCCCTCATGTTGCTCCTCGAATCTAGGCCCTACCCATCGGTCACACCCCGATAACTGCCCAAACGGGGAAGATAAGTCAGATGAGGGCATCCATGTGTGCATTCCCACACTTAGTAATTCTGCTCACTTCCATCTCCCTCCCAATCCTCCTCCCAGTTCATCATCTCTCCTCCTCCCTTTTTACTTCATCCCTCTCCGCCCCACTTCTTATCCCCCGTTCTCCTCCAATCTTCCCCACACTCCTTCTCCTCTAACCTCCTCTTATTCCGTCGGTCCGCTCCAAAATTCCCCTCGCGTTCTCCCCCAATCCACTCTCTACCCTAGTCGCCGACAAATCCTACGGCTAGAACAAGATGCAATCAGGCAGGCGACCCAGGCCAATGGTAGTTCTCTTAAAAAGCCTAGCGACCCATAGTGTTTGGTGCGGCTAAGCAGCCTCATTTAGGGACAGCACCTCTCACCTCCTCGTGCCCCAGACAAATGCTGGGGCCACGGCATCTGCGCACAGACCGCGACTCACAGACTGCAACACATGCGGTCAAAACCACCAAACGGGAAATAATACTATCTCACTCAATCTTCCTCCTCCTCCTTCTCCTCTTCCCCCCTCCTCCTCCTCCTCTTCCTCCTCCTGCTGCTGCTGCTACTGTCACCTCCGTCCCACCACAGAGGCTGCTAGGGTGAGTCCGCTCACTCAGGCAGTCTGGAATGCTCGTTCCCTTTTAGACAATCCGGTGATCAGTCGGCCGGAACGAAGGACGACAGTAGTTAATTGAAAACTGGAGCGCTATAAGATGGACGTCGCTGCACTCAGAAAGACCCTTTCACGGAACAGGGCCAAGTGGGTGAGGGGGTAGGTATCGATTAAACCTTCTTCAGGAGCGGTCGCTCAAGCCAGAGTGACGAGATGCGGGCTTCGCCTTTGTCCTCCGGGACGACATCGCGGGACAACTCCCCTGACTGCTACAGGGCATCAACGAACGACTCATGACGCCGAGCCTGCCTATTCGTGGATTCAAATTCAACGCCATCAACCGCGTCTAAGCCTCCGACAACTAACTCTGATGCGGCAAGGAGCATATTCTACGAGGACATGCAGACCTGGCAGATAAGATGATGGCACTTGTTGATTTGAACGTCCGCATCGATACAGATCATGCTGCCTGGAGAGGAGTGCTGGGTCCCATGGCCTCGGGGTTTTCAATGACAATGGTTTACTCCTCCTGCGAACCTGTGTAAAGCAACGCCTCATCCAGACCAACACATTTGTCAGAATGCTGAAGCAGGAGAAGGACATCTGGATGCACCCTCGGTCGCGACACTGGCACCTGCTGGACTATGTCCTCGTATGGAGGCAAGACCAGTGGGGATGTGCTGGTGACAAAGGTGATCCGGGGTGCCCACAGATGGACTGACCATCGCCTCGTCCTCTCCAAGATGAGGATCCGCCTACTGCCTCGCAAAATTCCTCAGGGCGAAGGACCACAATGTAGGCTGAGTACTCTTGTTGGATGTGCCTGCTCACCATCTCCTCTTCAGCAACGAGCTAGCTCAGCGAATAGCCAAATTCCCACTCACCGCCACCGGTAACGAGGAAGCCTCCGAAAGGAACCGACGGTGCCAACTGAGGGACGCAGTTTAGCCAACCCCCCTGAATGTCCTCGACCGTGCACGTCGCCAACACCAGGACTGGTCCAACGACAACGATGCCGTCATCTGCAGCCAGCTCGCCAAAAAGAATCGTCTGCACAAAGCCTATGCCAGCCAGCAGCCGCACAGCGACGCAAGCAAATTAGCATGCTAAAGAAGTCGCCGCCTTGTACAACACCAGCTGTAGGAGATACAGGACGTCTGGACGGCTCGTAAGACCAAGCATGTTCAAAAGTACGTGGACCGCAACGAGTGGAAGAACTTCTTCGCCATTATTAAGACTGCCTATGGTCCTACAGCTAAGGAGCCGCTCCTCTTCTCAGCGTCGACGGAACTACCTTACATACTGAGAGGACGCCAATTTACAGTGATAGGCCGATCACTTCAGAGACGTCCTCAGCCGTCTCTCCACCATCTCCGACACCACCATCCTCCGTCTGCCTCAAGTGGAGGACAACGACGAACTCGACCTCCCACCCTCTCTCCACGAAACCATCAGGGCCGTGCAGCAATCCTCCTGTGGGAAAGTGCCTGGATCCCTACTGAAATCTACAAGCACGACGGCCCCCAACTTATAAATCACCTGACAGTGGTCTTCCAAGAGATGTAGCACCAAGGAGAAGTCCCTCATGATTTCAAGGACACCACGGTCGTCCATCTTTAAAAAATGAACAGTTAACTCTGCGAAAATCACAGAGGAATCTCGCTGCTGAACATCTCTGGAAAAATATTTGTTCGTGTTCCCTTCAATCGCCCCAACACTTATCTGGAACAGGGACTCCTTTCAGTAAGCCAGTGCGGTTTCCGCCGTCATCGTGGCACCACTGACATGATCTTCGCTGACCGCCAGCTGCATAAGAAATGCCACGGGAAAAACGATGATTATGCACCAAACATCACCCAACGCTGCCTACAATCCACCCCACATCAGCGTGAACGGCGCCCGACTGCAAGTCGTAGACACCTTCACCAATTTGACAACATCCTCTCACGGTTCACAAAAGTCGACGACGAAGTGGCCCGCCGGATCTCCAAGGCCAACCATGCATTTGGTCACCTGCAGAACACCGTCTGGAATCATCACGGTCTTCACGTCAGCACCAACTTCAAGATGCACAAAGAGGTCATCCTGCCGACGTTTCTGTATAGAGCGAAGACTTAGACGGCGTTCGGGAAGCAGGCGCGGAGGCCCAACCATTTTCACCTCAGCTGTCTTCGGCGGATACTAAAACTGAACCGGCAGGGTCGGATCCCGGACACGTACGTACCGGAACGGACAGGACTCCTCAGCATGCACGTCATGCTGAGACGAGTACACCTGCGCTGGAGCGGCCACCTCGTGCGAAAAGCCTGCAGATCAACTCTGCCAAGTGGTAAGACCCCACCTGAGACCGACCGACCTGGAAGAGGACAGTGAAGGCAGGCGCGGCGATCTACGAAGCCCACCGCGTAACCACCGCTAAAGCCAAACTCGAAGCTCGCAAATCTCCACTGCTCCCACCTCGAAACGTCAACCCTCAGTCGTCCTCAAATTGCTCACAGTGTCGGTGGACGTTCCGGGCACCAATCGGCCTCGTTGGACATCTTCGAACCAACTGCAGCAGCTGGTTGACACCTGATGTCTCCTCATCCACATCTGTCTCGTCCATCACGTTGAGAATTAATCCTAGCCGCACTCCTAATTCCTCATTGCCATCCTCCACCGCTGTGGAGGCTCATGCTCCCGCCATCACAGCACACAATCCTGGAGCACAGTGACGAATTAACTAT